GAGCACTGGCTTAACACACAGAAAATGATCCTCTCACAGTTTAGGAGCTAGGAGTCTGAATTCAGGCTGCTGGCTCTAGGGGAAGGGGCTGTCTCTGTGCGTCTCCTGGCTCTAGGAGGTTCCCATGCAAGGACCCCGAGTTCACCCCAATCTCCGCTCTCTTCGCTGTAGTATGCTATTCCCCTGGTCCTTTCTCTCTGCATACCCCAGGGCAAGGCCCCTTACATCAGAGCAGGGCTTTGACAGGATTAAGGGTGTCATGTCTTGCCCCTTATCACTGATTTCCTTATCACATCTTGGGAGCTGATTACATCATTACATAACTGTCAAACCACTGAGAATCGCGCCCAGCCAAGTTGACAGATATTTTGGGGGGTCACAATTCAATCCAGGAGAGTGGAGGCCCCCCCTAGGGGGATGAAGTAGGTCACCATCTTCCTCACACCAGGCTTTCTTTCTGAGGCCATCGCTGCCTGGGTGTAAATATGTCTCTAAGAAGAGTCTTCTCCCACGATCCCTCAGCTCTCCCCACTTCTCCCGATTCACTAGGTGGCAGTTAGTCAGGGCAGCAGAGGGTAGATGCTGTTGTGCTATTGCTGGTCCTGAAGTCCACTGCCCCATCCCAACCCGCCCCATCCCACAGCTTCCTGAACTTAACCAAACTACAGCACGGTGGCAGACTGGCCAAAAACTATGGGCACCAGGCACAGAGTCTGGCTGGTTCAGGTGGTCTCGGTGGCACTGGTGGTTCCGATCAAGGGCGCTGGGGAAGGGTCTCCAGACTGGGGGCTGGTGGAGTCCAGATGCACCTTTGCCTCATCTGTCGTGAGCTCTTGACAAATGCTGGGAGTGGGGCGGAGTAGGGAGGGGGTTATGAAGAGGGGCAATGGACAAGGGGGGAAGAGGTGAGGACATGAATACCAATCACTGCATGTATATATACTTATCTCCTATCGACTCAGCATCAAGTCAAGTTGGAATTTTCTAACGAATTAATTCTCACCAAGGTAGAGTGGGATCTGACGGCATTCAATCAACGCGGCCCTCACCCTGCCCAGCGTATTTGAGATTTTACAAATTACTAAAGGAACTGTTGGAAAAGTGATTTTTTTTTTTCTTTTCGCTTTGTGCTTAGGTATGTCTAAAAGTACCATTATGGAAGAAAAATGCTCTTTTTCTCTAAAAGAGAATAATGCAAAACCGAAGCCGAAGTCATATGTAGTCTTAATTAGAAATATAAATATGCGCCGTGGCTTTATTTTGAGGCTATAGGAGGCTAAACATTCCAGGAATTCGTTCAGTAAGATTTAATGGGGAACAGGCTCCTATGAAGCTGGCAAGCATTTATTACATTTTAGGCTAGAAGAAAAACATGGTAATAAAAGTGTATATAAAACACCAGTGAATTATAGATGGAACACTGCTAGCATTTTCTAGAGATGTCAATTACTCTGCACCCTGAAGTGGTTCCTTCAAACAGGAAACAATGGGGAAATGCACGTGTAAACAAAGATATTTATTCCTTGAAGGAACTATAAGTATGAACGTGAATGCAAACCAAGGAAAGGGACTGGGAAAGACAAGGCCAGGGGACAGCCAGTGGGTCTCGGAGGCTGCCCTCCTCTGCCCGCTCGGCACCAGGCAGCCCAATGCTCTGTCCACTTTGTCTCTAACTGCCCAAGCCATCGCCACACTGACCCCCGACAGGCGCTCTGTGGGGTGTAGCCAATACACTGCTGCAGCGCACAGCATCACTCAGGGGAGGCGGCCAAGTCAGGTCAGGAGCAATCAAGCCAGGTCAACTCTCTATCTGTACGTTGCATATTGTCCTTTTGTCAGCGGAGATGACCTGGCACTGTCCCTGGAGCACCACTCTACATGCACGCCCGCACACCCCAGGCCCCTGGCTCTGGCACTACAAAGTGTCTCCTCTCCCTGAGCGCTTCACCCATGGGATCAGGACAGCTGCTGTCACAGGGTGTAGGATAACCACGCCCCACACAGGTGGACTTGGTGGCCTTAATCCCTGGGCAAATCACTGTCCATGGGGGCCCGCACACACTGTGTACCACCCGGGTACAGGCCCAGGCACCAAACCTTAGGCTCTGTCTCTCCTCTCTCTCCCTCTCTCTGTTCTCTCTCCCTCTCTCCTCCCTCTCTTACACACTGAGGCACATAAACACATACACACATATTAATTAAAGCCTACAGCAACATTAGGTGACTTCTACTCCAAACTCTCATATCCTCCTGCTTGGTATTTTATTTAGAATAAAGCTTGCTCCAAATCCCCCCTAAGTCAGGGACTGTGCCTGCACACCCTTTACTCCTTGCTGGGAAAGGAAGACTTTCTTCAGAATCAGTTTCTCATCAACTGCTCTAATGAAGTTGATGGTACACAAGAGGAAGTGGACCCGACAGTGACAGGGACAAGACCAAATACCACTCACCCAGGCAGAACACAGAGCGAGTGGTCAGCCAATTCCTTTCTGGACCAGGGCAGACCCGTTGGGTCACTTACTGGTCATATGCAGACTGATGGTCCTCCAAAGGGAACGGATGTTCCTGATGCTATGTGAAGAGCTGGCTCCCACTCTCAGTGACTCCCACGGAAGCAGAGAAACTGGGGCCGAAGGGCCACGTACCCCCCTGGGACCGGGCCACCTACAGGGTGCCTGTCCCAGGTGACTGGGCTCCAGGGGAGTCATGCCTGGCCTCCCAGTATGGGAAGAGAAAACCACATGGCATAAAGAGGTATGGCATCCAAGAATGGGCATTTGGGAAACTCTTACCAATTCTACCAGCAGTCCTGACAGCATCTGTTTGCACAAATTGCCCTGTGCTGTCTCCCCTGGGTGAGTGAGTATTTACCCGAAGGAACGTGGGGAATCCTTGTCCATAGTAGCCGACGGCAAAATAGTCAGGCTTGGGCCGGATCACCTTGACAATGTTTTCATAAAACTGCGCCTGTTTTTTCTGAAAGGAAAAAGGAAATGCATTTTCAGGTTCCAAAAAACAAATCAAACTCACTGCTGTTGAGCTGAGTCCATTGGGTTTCTGAGGCAGTAAATCTTTATGGAAGTAGATTGCCCCATCTTCCTTCCACGGAGCTGCTGTGGGTTTGAACTAGCAGCCTTCTGGTTAGCAATCAAATGCTACCAGGGCTCCTTATTTTCAAGTTGGGAGAGAGTGTTTGAGCTCCTGCTTTTCTGGATACTTCTAGTGGCATTTTCAGGCATTGGCAACTTTTGGAGGGTGGGGAGCGGGTAGGGGAGCGGCTGCCAGCATCTGAACTCATCTGATGATGCAGCTTTGGCTCTGCCTCATGGGCCCCCCGTCCCTCAGCAAGGCCTTGGGCCAAAAAAGCCAAATTCAGCAACAGGTGTGATTTATGGGTGTCTTCAGTAACAAAAGACCAGTCACCAAAATGGCTTTTCTGCTGATCCAATAAACAGTGGGACTTTATTATTTAACAAATGGACACGGAGCAGAGACTAGGGCACATTAAAAAAGAATTAAAAGGAACAGAAGTGGCTCTGCTCTAAGAACTAATGGTAAACATTTCAACATTATTAAGGTTCCCATTCCCGCTGAGTCCATTCTGACTCATGGCAACCCTGTGTCTGAGGCAGCAGAACTGGGCCCCAGAGTATTTTCTTGCATGCAATCTTTATGGAAGCAGATCACCAGGCCTTTCTTTGGTGGAGCTGCTGAGGGGTTCGAACCGCCGGCCTTTTGGTCAGCAGCCCAATGCTGTCAGCACAGTGCCACCACGGCTTCTTACGTACAGTCTGCTCTTCCTTAAATACAAACTGCTCATGGCAGTCTGAGAGCTTGGTGGCAGAAGCTGAGTCAGAAATAAACAGTGGATACTCGTGGGCTGGAATCAACCAGGAAATAAACAAAGACCATTCCCTGGACAAAATGGAGGACGACCTTGGCCATGAGAAGAACCCCAACTCTACGATGGAAAGAGACATTCCAGACACCACGCTTAGACTGACTATGTTCGCATCAATGGAAAGGAGGACCTACCAGCAGCTCACTGAGTTGCTCGTAATCAAACATTTCCGTCTCATACTGCTCAGCAAGCTCCTTACCCAGGGCGATGGCCTCCTCCCACATCTGCGAGGAAGGGAAGAGAGAGAAATGCAGCCTCAGTCGTGCTGTCAAGGTGCAAAACAGGCGGCAGAGTCTTTCTTAATAAAACAACTCAGAACACTCCGGACTAACAGGGAGCACTGTGGGCATAAAGCTGCGAGAGGACCACGGTTTCCGAGAAGCTCATTTCCGGTGGGCCTGGCTGGGCAGCAGTTTACTGAACTGGTCAGCTGCCGGCTCATTCGTCACGCGGCCCCTGTCCGTGGGCAGAGCAGTGTCACCAGCTCCTTGTCCTGCTCTGATCCCCATGCTCTACCTGCTGGAACGCAGCCTTGGAGCCAGTGAGAAGGACCTGCAGGTGTGGACAGGCTGTGAAGAGCTTCATGCAGAAATGGGGACCTCAATTTTACTTTCCCAAATCATCACATGGAATAAACCCTGTGGAAAATCATTAACTCAAAGAAGACCGGGCCATGCCTCGAACTTGAAAGAAGGCTTGCAAGAAGCCCCCCTTACATGTGCAAAGATGGCAGTCCCCCTTATGTGTGCAAAAACAGGGAGTTTGAAATTCTGTCATTATTTTCAAAGGAGGAATTCTTTATGGTCATAGTTTGAACGTGGCTTTCCAAATCAGACAGCTGATGGACTAAAAAATGCTGGTAAGCACTGGACGGGACTGATCTGCTGAGATACATGTTGTTGGATGCTGTCCAGTTGGCCCTGACTCATGGACACCCGTGGACAACAGAAAAAAGCGCTGTCTGACCCCACCCCATCCCCGTGAACAGCTGTGGTCTGAACGGCTCCCACCGGCCACACTGCAGAGGTGGCTCCCAGCCCTTTCTTTCTAGTCCATCTCAGTGTGGATGCTCTGCTGAAACCTTGGCATCGTACCAGCACCCTGCTCTTTACTGACAGATGGGCGGTGTCTATGAGGAGGTGCACTGGCTGGAAATGGACCTGGGTCTCCCCCTGGAAGGACAGAACTCTATCGTTGAACCTCCGTGGGGTCATGCTTGGCACTATGCCCCTGCCCCACCTCCCAGTCCTCCCTTTCCTCTTTAGAATGACCTCACCGACAATCTGACTTCATTCTGAATCATCCAGCAAATTTAAGAAAAGTAGTTTTACTGAAATGCCTGACAAATCTTCTTTTCATAGTGAATCTTTACAGTAATTACCTGCCATTTTTATTTTATTGTGGCAAATATATTTCTAACAAACCTTTGCCATCACAGCCTTCTTCACAGTACGATTCCCTGATGGGATCTGCGCTCATCACCTTGTTCCCATCACCATCACCCACTTCCACTTTCTTCCATCACCTTCAGCACAGGGTCCCCCAGGCAGAGATTCCCCCATTTCCGCTCCTCCCGTCAGTCCTGGTCACCAGGAACGAACTCTGGGTTCTATGCCTTTACCTTTTTAGCTATTTTCATGTAAGTGGGATCCTACCACATTTGTCCCTTTGTGACTGACTTACTTCCCTTGGCACAGTGTTTTCAAGGTTCATCCGTGCCAGAGTGTGTGTCAGAGGATGTATCCTACTGTAAATCATTTCTCTCTGTGGCTGAGCAAGGTTTCATCGTGTGCACAGACCACACAAAGAGCTGCTTTGGAAGAAGAATTGCATTTTAGGACTTTGACAAACAAAAGAAAAATAAGTCCAGAGTACAGAAGAGACAGCAGTAAAGTCCAGGGAGGAGAGAGGGGCCGAGATGGCCTCCACTGTCTGCAGGCTGGCCGGCACTCGCTCACCTCCCAGAACCACTGTGGGTCTCCTCCGTTTTGCCGAAGGTTTTAAATCACCTTTGGTCTTTGTTGTCACCTGAACTTGGTATTGTAGTTTGGGAAAGTTTAGAGCAAATTTGTATTTCATTCAACAACTTATACACATTTTGTTTCGTGCTGTTGGTGGAAATCCCCTCAATGTGGCAGCACTCTTCCCCCTTCCTCCCTGGGGTCCCCGTTTCCATCCGTCCTTCTTTGTTGTCGAGTGAACAAGAACACCAGGGAAGACCATGTTCCTCAGTCCATCAGCCACACAAGGCCTCGCACCCTTTCACCGTCTTCACCTCCTGCTCCGTGTCTTGCTCTTGTTCTTTGCCAAAGTCCAAGCTCACGGTTCTAGGAACGGGGACGTTTTCTCACGTTTACTGTTTCTTGAAGCTCCAGTGATCAATTTCTCCCCAGCATATTTCCACGTCATGGGAAACCTCTGCTTGGACCTCTCTTTTGGCAGCATTTTCTTTAGTTGTCTTCAACAAGCACACACACACTAGATGCAAGGGCTCTGAGCTCATTACTAAGTAAAAGCTGAATCTGTGTTTATCCTAAATGACAAAGGAGGTGTTTTTGGTACATATCAAAAGTAATTGTCTTTAAAAGAAATACAAGTCTTGAATAAATATCTTATCTGACTCACTGTGACATTATACATACTTGCATTTTCCTTCAGATTTTCTGTAAATTCCCATCCCCCCTTTTCCTCAGCTAGTTTGAAAGGATTCGGTGTTAAGGAGATTTCCATCTGCTTTCGGTTGGATAGGGCTCTAAGAAGAGCATGGGTAATGCAGATTTCGAACATGAATCGCTTGGAAAATATTTCAGTGTCAGAGAGAAATGGATTTGATATGATCTAGATTGAGATTATCTTGGTGAAAAAATCGCTTTAGCCTTTGCGATGCAACACCCAGGCTCCGTGCCATGCTTGGCAGTGCCACAGGCTTACAAGGTTTACCAAGCCCCAAATGAAAAAGCACCCTATCAGCAGATCATTTTGTGTTCTGACTTGAAATCCATAATTCGTTTATGGTATTCTTGAAATTGCGTATTTATTTGCAGTTCGGAGTACACTCTCGCCACCATTTCTTTTCATCAGATAATATTAGCTCTGTCCTCTTGAGATGATAATCTCTTCCCCACCGTGCTGAGCCTCCAGGTCTCAGGAAGTTCCATTTCTGAAAGTTCCGCCAACAGAAAACTTTCTTTTCTGATGAAACACCTTCCTTAGTTCCAAGACTTGGGCTTGGAGGAGAGACCCGGCAGTGATTTCTTGACGAGAACTATTTTGATATTTATTGGGTTTATGAATGGCCATCTGGTAGGATGACAACAATGAACTCCCAGGAACAGGGAGAGGAAGCACAGGAAAGAAAAGACGCAGTCAGGACCACTGTCCCTTACTAACTGTGCAGGCTGGCCATGACTCAGCACAGTAACTGGCGACTGACCGCTCTACTCTGCTCAATGCTGCCTTTAGGTGCCCAGTCCTGCTCCACCCTCACAACAACTGCTGTATCTGGGTGCTGTAGCCACTGTGTCACACTCCACTTCAATGACGGTGTCTCTCTTTTTCACCAACTCTCTTCTTCAGGAGGAGCTCTGGTGGCACAGTGCCTAAGGCACTTGACTGCTAAACACAAGGTTGGCGGTTCAAACCCACCAGCCACTCCTCGGCAGGAAGGTAGGGCAATCTCATTCCATAGAGATACCGCCTCGGAAACCCAAGGAGGGGTCGCCATGAGTGGGGTCTGACTCAATGGCGGTGGGTTTGGTTTTTGAGCCTTACAGAAGGTTAGACAAAGAAAGAGAAGTTAGAGGGGTACAGGGCCACCCATGTACCAGGGATCACACCACTAGATGGCAGTCCATTTCAGTGTCCAAGACCTGCATGGACCTTAGACAGTCAGAGGATAACTGAGTATGTGTCCTTCAGGAAGCATGATGTCCTTCTCTGCTGACTGGTCCTAATGACGTGTCCAAAGCGAGCGGGCCGAAGTCTTCCATCCTTGCTTCTAAGGAACATTCCGGCTGTACTTCCTCCAGGACAGACTGGTTCATTCTTGTGGGATTCCGTGGTGTATTCGATATTCTTTGCCAACACCACAGCTTGAATGTGTTTATTCTTCTCTGTCATCCTATTTCTTTGTACTCACTCACTAGCTATGAATAACTTACCAGAGAAGATGCTTTATGGGCTGCTTGGGTTCCAGACATTCTTCAGAACGTCATCCATTTTTCCTGGCAGTTGTTGGGAAGGACACATACTCAGCTACCCTCTGACTGTCTAAAATCCTTGCAGGTCTTGGACACTGAAATGGACTGCCGTGCAGTGGTGTTCTCCCTGGTACATGGGTCCCTCTACCCTCTAACTTCTCTTTCTTTGTCTAACCTTCTGTAAGACTCAGGCCGAATTCTCCGTTTCAACCAAGCTTTCTCAGGCTGCCACTTCCTCTCTCACATCTTGCTCCTTCTCTTCTTAACCTTTTCCCCTTTAGCATTAATACCCTGCAGGTAGCCTGCCGTCATGTGTGCTCCTGGCCTCAGCCTGTCCACACTGGAGGGACGTGGACTCTGTCAAGGCAGAAAGCTGATGGGACAGAATGCTCTGCTCACCCGTCCTTCTGCAGGGTACCTCTGTGGCGTCTGAGAAAAGTCTAAACACTTCCCAGGTTCCTCTGAAGCCTGAGGTACAGGGCAGACTTCAACTATTTTATTAATAACTTTTTAAATTCAATTTTTGATAATTTTATAGATTAATCTTTAATCTAATTTCTAAGTATCTGAAGAAATAGAGTCAAAGCCTCAACAAGAAATATGGGGTCATGTACACTGATGGTTCAGGCCGAATCTCTTGTGCAGGATTAAGCATGACATTGCTAAACCCTATGTGGTCAGGACTGGAGATGGGTACAGGGTCCCGGTTTGTGGAGAGATGGGTGAGAGCCCATGGGAGAGAGGGATGTAGAGCGTGAGGAGCCCAGGCAGCCCCCAGCAGCTCCCTTATACAATGGCAGAAAGGAGGGAGGACCAAGAGGATAAGTGGGAGGAGTAAGAAGAGGAAGGGGAAGAAGAGGAGGAGGAAGATGATAAAGGAAGAGGAAGAAGAGAAGGAGAGAAAGAAGAAACTCTACCTCACTCTTTAAGAACCTATTTAAACATCACCTCCTCAGTGAAGTCCTCCTCCACCCCCCAAAGAAGTAATACCTGTTAGAGGGAGCTCTGGCAGCATAGTGCCTAAG